GGTGATGTCCACAGTAATGACTCTTACATGTCTAATATGTGTAATGTGTAATTGTAAAGCGCTTTGAGCACCTGTAAAAGCGCTCTAATAAAAAATGTAATGCATTATTATTATTATTATTAGTTATTTCTGTGACATTTAACATTTTAAATGCAACTCTCTGCATCCTTTATTTGGTGTTGTAGCCTACACCTCAGGTTTCATTAAATAAGACTATTTAAGCTTCATGAAAAAAAACGAATGTCATAGGGAGAAATTAAATTACATTGCATTTAGCTGACGCTTTTATCCAAAGAAACTTACAATCAGTACATTCGACCAGGAAGATACAACCTTGAAGAAAACAGAATCATATAAGTACATCAGGTTTCATAGAGCCAAACATTTCAAGTGCTACTCAACTGGCTTTAGATAAGCCAGCCCTTTATTAGTATATAAGTGCTTTGTTAGTAATTAATTAGAAATGTCAGAGCTGCAGAATAAAAGGCTAACAATAGGCACTTTCACACCAGAGTACTTTTCCCCGTATTTTTCCCGTTTAGTTCCGATAGTTCCTGGGATTTTGCGTTCACACCAAAAAGAGAACTTAGTTCATGAGAACTTTTCCCACCTTTTTAGTCCCTGCTAGAGAGGTGGTACTTTCCTGTTCCAATTTCTGATTGGCTGAGCGAATTGCAAACCACGGCACGTAAAACTCTGAAAAGTTTAGTGAAGCCGCCATTGTGTTTGCTGGCATTAGCATTGTTAGCATTAGCCCCGTGCACCAACGGAGAGAGAATAACTTATGGCAACACAAAAAAAAACATGGGAGCGGAGGAGATGAGGAGGTGTCGGCGTTCTGGCGATTTACTTGGAAGCTCCGAGGACTTCCGGCCGGGGACTTCGGGTGGCAGTATACGCCGTGAAGTTGTTTGCGGCCTGCCAGTAAACCCAAAGCAGAAGAAGAAGAAGAAGAAGTGACGTCAGTGGCTTCATTTGCGTAATCTTCCCTCAGGGAACTTATTCCGGTGTGAGCGCAGTCTGCTCTTAGTTCCATGGGGGTACTAAGTGCTGGGAACTAAGTACGGCAAAGTACTTGGTGTGAAAGTGGCTAATGAAGCAACTACTGCGACATTAATGAAAACTGTATTGTGCTATAATGTAGTATTTGTACCGGGTTATAAACGCAATAGCTGATTCAAAGCCTTAAGTTACATTCAAACAATTACAATTTGGATGGAGTTCCAAAACCTAAATAATACATCTAAAAAAGAAACTCCTAAAAGTGTCAGTTGTCAACAGTTTACCCTGCTAGCATATACTGATTTTTCTATCAAGTCATCAATACTGCATTGAAGCATTGACTGTAACTACATCTGCATGCAGCCTGGTGGCAGACAGCACGCTGACACTGCATTGTGCCTATTCAAACTGTAAGCCTACATGAATACAAGCAGACACACAGTGAGCCGTACATCCGTTAAACCGGCAGCTGAGTGGAGGGTGTGAGGGTGAAAGAGCTCAGTCAGGGTTAGGCCTGTTGTTGAGGGCCACATCTGCTGAGAGGGGCCACAGACTACAGTTATAAACATATGGACTCCAGCTGGATAATAATAGTGAGAGTCAATATATGAACATATTAATATTGCATGAAGAGTAGTGTTGTTCATACTTGTACACACCTGCAGTACATATAAATGCACACCCACGCAGAAGGAGGGCTGTTGCAAATATCTTATTTCAATTGACAAGCCAACTAAAGGGAATGCTCATGAAGGAGCCTCAAACTGCCTCAACTTTGCAGAGCTACTTATTAAATGCAATGAAGAATGTAATTTAGTAATCTTTCTACAAAGTATGTCACCGAGCATGTGTGTGTGTGTGTGTGTGTGTGTGTGTGTGTGTGTGTGTGTGTGTGTGTGTGTGTGTGTGTGTGTTCCCTCAGAAGTGAGCACTGGGGTTAATTATTGTCTTTAGGGAAAACAAAACAAACCATTTAGATCCACAATAGCCCTGGTTTTTCAGCCCTAAATTCAGATGTTAAGCACCTAATTGCCATAACAAACAGACAGTAAATACATTTCCACAGTCCTCATTAGTGCTCTGCAGGCCAGAGAACAATGAAATGATTAACTTACATATTAAAAAGCAATGAGTGCCTGTGTACACACAATCTAGCTGCAGACACATGCCCAAACATGCAATCTAACATGATCACACAGAGTGCACCAGGTAACCTGCGAGGCACATGGATAATTGTACGTTATGCCAACAAACTACCAGCCTACCCCCTTCTTCTCCCCAAAATCCACATACAAAGTGAAACCACCCAGTTTATTGGTGTCAAACATGCATCAGAATCCCCTGATTTATGGCGCTAACTAATTACAAAGCTGATCTTCAGAGAGCTGGAGGGAGGAGGAAAGCTGGGAAGAGAGTGGTGGGAATGAGGGCAGGTCCTGTGGCACTAAACGCCTGGGAGCCACAGTAAGGTGTTTGTGAGGAGGAAACAAAGACTTTGATATTAAAAAGGCAGAAAACGATGTCAAACTCACATAAAAAAAAGTATGTTACAGAATAAAATCTCACTAGCATTTCAACACGTTTTAAACTCTTAGAAGTTCCATGCTTTCTTGATTATTTAACTAACAGATATATTAGTAACAGATACACCTCTAATTAAAATAGAAGTTACCCCATCAGAAAGAAATGCAGCTTGATGGTAATCTTTGATTTCACAATAAATATAAAAGTATCTAAACGAGTTCTTTCAAGAAAAGAGATGTTATCTCAAATCTTTTCTCAGTTGTTATTTTTGTGTTGATTAGATTAGATTTGATTTAACTTCATTGTCATTGCAGTACAGTTTGAGACAGCTACGAAATTCCTCTGGAAGTTTAGACTTAAAGATAATTTCTCATTCAACACATCTCAGCCTGTGTCGACACTCCAGGTAATGGGGAAGTGATAAATAACTTTAAAGATCCAACATGAAAAAGAAATACAAAGAGGTCCAAAGATTTCCAGATGACAAAGCCCTTGTTGTCGTACTTATCTAAAAGCAGCGAGCAAGTGTATTTCTCTGGAATACACACCTGAGATTTACGAGTGGAGAAAGGCAGAGATAGCAGAGATATGCGAGTCTTTCTGGGATGCCATTATCTCTTTAGCCAGTGTGGCAGCAGTTTATCTCAGCAGTCAATCACAGAGTAATCACTATCTGCTTCCACTTTCACTGCTGAGAATACCCTGTCAGCTTCCGCTCTGCGCTGCCGCAGATAAAGAGCTACAAAGAGTGAGTAAGCACACTCAATGACAGATGGGTCGTATTTTATTTATCACCCTTTATTCAAACTTAAATTGCCAGCCATTACAGTGTCACTGGAGTCTGTAATGACATATAGTAATTCTAGAGAGGTGGTACAGGTATACAGACACATTCTAAAGTACTAACAATGAGGCGATAAATTGGTTGCATGAAAATAAGTCAGCTATTTTAAAAGTTAACAAAAGCAGGAAAAAATACACAATCAGTCATTATTTAAGAATCAGTGGTTTCAGTAGATGTGCCAATTATTATTATTATTATTATTTAAGAAGTGTATAGCAGTTAAAGATTAAGAAAAAAACAATGAGAGGATTAGTTGGGTGCCTGAAAATTAATCAAATATTTTTTTAAATGATGAATCGCACTGGTTTCAGCTTTACTTAGATTTGCTGCTTATATCCTTTTTTACGTAATTGTAAACTCAAATAATATTTGAAATTCTGCCTGGATTTGTTCCAGTGTTATCTAGTAATAATGAAGAAGAAAGATTAAATACATTTAAAAAATGCATATATTTCTTGCACCCTTTAACAAATCAGCAGCCGAGCCATCCATCTGTTGGACACATGTCATCTGTAATCACAGCAGCGTGTTCAGTGCAGATCACTGTTGGCCTCTAGGTCTTTTCTAATGATCCACACTGATCCCTGTCTGCTGCGTCGGCTCACTCATCTTCCCTCACTGCCTCTGCCACCATAGGAATGCCATTCCAGTCTGCCCATAATTCCCGCTCAGTGTTCCCAGTAATCCCTCTTCTCCGGCTGCTCCGAGTCTACTTCCTTCCTCACAGCTGCTGGGCGGCCCGCTTGCTCTAATAATAGGACAACAATGCCCGCCCCACGCCCGGACACACTGCACTACTACTTACAAAAAAAAACGTAAGCGTCTCCAAACTCTACTTGAATCTGGGATATGTAAAAGTTTACCACAACGATTACTTTAACTGATACTTTATCCAGAAAGGTCAGATAATTAACACACATGTTTAAACTCACTACAAATGTTGACGTCCCTGTCAAAAAGAGCAACATGATACAAACTTGTTGACACTTAGTGCTTCTTTGTGTGGGTTATAGAGGGCAGCATTAAACACATGTTGGTGGAGGAATGATGATGAGGCTGCACACTCAGGTGAGCTACTATCTGTGGTAGAGTCAGAGAAAACACTGTCATCAAGCAAGAGCTGATAAATGAGGGCTACACTCTGCTAAAGTGGTTAAACACTACCTTCTAGCTTTGTATGGTGGAATTGGAAAACTCCTCCAGCACACACACAGACATGTATGAAATCAATACAAGATGCATGGTCCTGTCAACAAAGACCAAATAAATATACAGAAGTCTAAAGAGTTTTATGTTCTCCTCCTCTGCTGTCCCACATGTAACAGAGCTGTGAATCACACGATACAACTCTTTGGTTCCTCTCTTTCCCCCACATTAGTACCCTTCATATAAGATTCTTTCTTCCCCTAATTTGCTTCTTTCTCTGACAGATGAGTGTGATAATGTTGCTCCGCGGCACGTGAAAAGCCTTCCTCCACACCTCCTCCTCTCTTCCAACCCCCCTCCGCCATTCCACCAAGAGAGCAATCCCACAGAAAAGCTCACACAACTTAAACTTCTTTTTTTCTCACAGAGTTATCAACCAGAGAAATGAGGGGGGGGGGGGGGGAAGTGAAATGCAAGCGCTCACCTCAGACAAGGTCCCACTGCCGCAGGGAAAGCAGAAGAAATACCATCCTCAATCCACACAGAAAAACCAAAAAAGCAACAAGTAGTAACTCCAGAGATTCCTCCTCCCCTCTCTCACACTCCTGCTTCCTCGCTCTGCTTCTCCTTCTGCTTTGAGCTCATTCAGGCTGCAGTAGCAAGTATGCGTGTGTGTGTGTGTGTGTGTGTGTGTGTGTGTGTGTGTGTGTGTGTGTGTGTGTGTGTGTGTGTGTGTGTGAGAGAGAGAGAGAGAGAGTAAGTGTGTATGGTCCCGTGGACTCCTGCAGGGGTATTGACTCTTAGCAGGGTTCAGGTCCTCCCCCTTCTTAGGATCACAGTGCGAGAGAAAAAAATAAATCTCACCCACACACACAAACAGAGGGCAGGAGAGTACTCTCTTTGTCTTTTCTTGCTATTCTCTCACTTCCTTGATCTGTGTCTTCAAATGTCTGGAACTCCCTACTCTACAGCCCCCTTTCATAGGAGAATGGGAGAGAGAGTGTGTGTGTGTGTGTGTGTGTGTGTGTGTGTGTGTGTGTGTGTGTGTGTGTGTGTGTGTGTGTGTGTGTGTGTGTGTGTGTGTGTGTGTGTGTGTGTGTCTGCAGAGGGAATGCCATCGTGCTCCAGCGCTCGGGGCCGGGAGGAGGAGAAGGAGGTGGGGCTTAGACCTCAGAGAGCCTGAATTCCTGCCTCACATCCAGCCAATCAGAGGCCGTGTTGCGGTTGACCAAAAACCGCGGGGCCGGGCCGGGCCCCACTACCACACTCCAGCTTTAAAGCATTAGCTGCAGTTTGCTGGGCACTTAGGCTTCATTCTGCAGCAGTGCAGTGGATGACCATTACTGTTTTATGTCGGGAAATGTACATTTTGCTAGCCTACTGTATTTCAATATTGATCCAGCAAAAACACTGTTTATTGTAATGTCCAGCATAAAAAAAAAATGTATGTAGCATTAAGGACATAAAGGCACATTTAACGCATAAATATTATAAGTAAAGTCTACTTCCAGCAAGTTTCCATGTGTTTTAGTTCCATGTGTTTAAGTAGCATGAAAGCATGCCAAAACTACAAAGGTAAAGGTATGTTACAATAGGACGAAGCAGTGTAGAGATGTCTCCTTGCCTTTTCCCACGTCCCTCCCTCCTTCCTGCCAAAGAACAGTACTCTCATGTTTCTGCTGCCGGCCTTGGCTAGACATTTTTCAAGGAAGGTATTTGTCCACAAAAGTGACAGCAGACCCCCCCTTCCCACACACACACCCATTCCCCCTCCTGACACTCACACCGGGTTACTGTTGGCTACTTCAACTTTTCAACACACTAAAGCCTTAGGGCTGTGTTATAAGAAATATGTCAAGTGATGATCTCGCCTGCTGGTCTTCATCACCACCATTATTTAGTATTGATAGGATGTGAAATTGAAAAGAAACACATGTTAGCCACGCTAGCATATGTACATGCTGACAGTGACAATGCTAACATGCTGAGGTTAACCTGCCATAATGTCTTGTATAAGCGTGCAAGCATGCTAATTAGCACTTCACAGAAAATACAGCTGTGGCTGATGGGGTTGTTATCTGTCAGTTTTGCAGGGGTTTGGTCATTAATCAAAGTATTACAGAAAATGAACCCAACACATTTAAATGTTGACCTGTTGGTGCTGGATGAAAAGTGAATGGATCACCAAAGTTATTATAATTAATTATGAGAACGGATATTGTGAATAACGTGTACAATATTTCATGGGAATCCATGCATTGTTTAATAAATATTTCCATAATACACAAATGTTGACCTCATTTTAATGCAAGAATGAAAGTCAAAGAATTACTAGGATTATACATTTTTGAAAGTTGTTACAAATTTCAAGACAATCCATCGAACAGAGATATTCAAGCCTGGATCAAATAAGTGAACAACAGATCATTGTAATCCCCTAGTAATGCAGCTTCTTGTGTTAAATGTTAAACATTTTCACAGAAATAAGTGTGGCATGAACATGCACTCTAAAGGCAACATTTAGCAGAACAGAATGCACAAGGCAGAAATAAAACATTTGGAAAAGAGACCCGTTTTCAAACTATGTGTATGATTCTAATATTTCTGAAAGTATTGAAATGTAAGGGCTGTGGGTGTATTTACATTTATTGATACCCCATTTACACGGGAACACTTGCGTTTATACTTCTATTAAATATATAATCAAGCAAGCAATAATAATATCAACAGAGCATTAAAGTAGGCCAAAAGTTAGAATAAAATGAAGAGGGACAGCACCATGTTTCCTCCAATCCACATATAGTCCTTGCCTTCAAAACCAAAATGAAAACAGCCCTGTTTCCACATGGCGTGAAATGATACAAATTGTGTTGCTCTGTGACTTCATTGGGGATGGGATGACTTTGTTGATCTATTACTTTCATATGGTTCCTACTTCTGAGGCATTTTGCACAACTATAAAACTCTCCAGTTAAACATGTTGTTGAGAGTTGGTCTTTGTTTGTTGCGTAACAAAGATTGGTGATTCATTGTTTGACTTTGGCATGCGCTGTAACTGCTTCTTTTTGTTTTTGTCAGTTTATGACAATTAGTGCAAATGTTTGCCTCGGCCAAGGAGGTTGTGTTTTCGGTTTTGATTGTTTGTTTGTCAGTTTGTCAGCAGAGTTAACAAAAAGTTGGCCGATCTACATGAAACTTGGTGGAAGGCTTTATCATGGGCCAAGGAAAAACCCATTGGAGCAGATTCGAATCAAAGGGGAGACTTTTATTTGTACACACAGATATGTATTTGGAATTATTGATTTTAATTGAAGCTGGAGCCTTCTGGACCCCGGCTTAATTTTTTATATAAACCGTACAGCAGTGTCATGTGCTTATTTTTCATTATGGTTCATTAGGTCTTGGCTCCTGCCCACCCTAAATTCTTATGATTCTAGAATAGCCTTAAAGTTGTCTTACTCATTACTCACACTGTACTTAGTAGTAATAAATACTTCTTACATTAGCATCATGTGGTTGCGTAGTGGTTTTAGAGCAGATTGAGGTTAAACCAGTAAGAACTGCTAATGCTTGTTTAGGCCGATGTGTGGCTAAAGGCTAATTCCACCTTCTACTAACATTACCAGGAAAACATTTTGAAAATCAGAGAATGAAAGTAAAACATGGGGAAAAAAGGAACCCGAAGGCTAAAGTGACATAATAAGCTAATCATTTGGTATGTGGGCTAGCCTATAGAGTTACACAGGGACAAAAAGTAAAGCAGTGTGTCCACTTCTATAGAAATTGGGACACGCCTGTCCTTTTATCTTCCTCTTCATTTGTCTCCCTTGCCGTCTCCTTAATCCCTCACCCCTTGTTTATAGTCCTGAGTTGATTTGTGTGTTTATGTCCCAGAACGTGTGAAATGTTAATAATGTTAGCAAATCTTTTTGGGCATTATTAACATATAAAAAGCCAGGTTAAGAGTATGACTGGGGAAAAAAAGGAAATGAACAGCATATACAGGTGAGAAGAAGACAAGATGGACCAGTGACAAGCAGAAGAAAACAATGGAAAGTGCTATGTGACCATACTGCTGACAAACACAGGAAACAAACAGTCTGTCTAATGTGTAGCTACAGTATCCTAATGACCTTCCCCCTGAGGTAATTATATCCTCTGTTGAGTGCTTGAGGTCTAAACCTAAAGCATAAAAAAAATGACACTGCAGTCCTCAGAGAGCTGAGTCAGAGACAATTAACACATAAAACTACATCAATTCAAATCAGAGTGTGGTGGATGATCAGTCTCTGATTCTATCTCGCCAATAAAACCAGAGAAACACAGGAGTGGGTAATTCAGTTGTAGGAAGCGTTGGGACAGTTAGGAATGCCATCATTTTGGAGACAAAGGCACTTGTGTGTGACACGCGGGGTCAGGCCGCTACCATGCCAGCAAGAGCTTTTTGTGGAAGGAATCCAAGGCAAAGGCCAGAAATGGGCGAACCCAGCACTCTAACATGCATACCATCCAACTGCCAAGGTCGCAATTTCATTAAGACCTTCATCACAAATAAATCACACCTCTTTCTCCATGATTTATGTCCTTCTTTACTCCAAACCATCCAATAATGGCAAAATCCAGAAATCTTATTTTTCAGACTAACTTTCCAAAGTCTGACAGCCCAGTGGCCGTTAAAGCGGTCTCGTTCAGAAGTACAACGCCACTTAAAGGCCCGGCATATGAGCCTCCCGATTCAACATGTCGAATCGGCGGCGGAAGGTGTCGAATCGGCGGCGGAAGGTGTCGAATCGGCGGCGGAAGGTGTCGGCACGGCCGAAAAGACAACTGTGCGGGACACATCAATCTGAGTAGGGCGACACGACACTCATCGACGGCCAGACATCTATCGACGGTCGAAATTGGCCCGGTGTGTAACGGCCTTTAGGTAGAGCACTAAAGCTCTCATTAGCACCCTGCTGTTTCCCCATGCTAGTGTTCTTTGCTGCTGTACTCCCTTCCCCCTTAGTATGAGCTTTTGTTTACTTGACAAAGCTCTCAACATGTATGTCATTGTTATGCGGAGAGGATTAGATCCTCTAGCAGGATCCTCAATTCCTCAATGCTTCTTAAAGTCCTTATCTTACATGAAAAACTTTTTTTGGCAGTTGATTTCTGGGGGGTGTATGCAACAGATAGTCAATGTATGTTTCTTTATTTCATACTGAATAATATGTAAAAAAAGGAAAAATATTAGGTCCAATAAAAAAACTTTGCTTCTGGAAGCAGGCAATTTCGTGACGTCACGTGTGGTTCCCGGCTGCCGCTGTCTGGCTCCCTGCTGCCGTCCGGATCGACAGCCAATGCGCGCAGCCAGCGAGAGTTCACAACGAAAAATGGCGTCAAATATTGTTGATGTTTACGCATCAGAAAAAGCTAATAGCGCGGGTATTTGGCACAATTTGACAGAACAATTATTTGGTGTGGACGATGCGAGCAGTGACGAT